TCGCCTGTCATCAGCTTTCCAAATATGTGTGGGTCTATTTTGAGGATCTCAATTTTTATATATCTTAAGGATTTATAATAGGTTTTAATACCTGAAAGTTAAGTTCTTCCTACCTTGTTCACCACCACCCTCCATTGTCTTGCTATTCTTTGTCCTTTGTTCTTCCATGTAATTTTAGGGTCAATTTATCAAAGTTTATTTTAAACTCTTATTCCCTATTCATATTTCAACTGGAACTTGATTGAACGGTATTTTCATCTTTATGAATCTGATTCTTTTTACCCTTGGATATGGCAAATACATTCCTTCATTTTTTAAGTTCTTTTTTCTTTTTAGGTGCTGGGCATTCTAAGCACATACTCTACCACTGAGCTAAATCCCCAGCCACCATTTTTTCCCAGTTTGTTTGTTTGTTTATTGGTACCAGGGATCGAACTCAGGACCTTGCACTTGCAAGACAGACGGCGGCACCACTGAGCTAAATCCCCGGCCCTTCAGTTCATTTTTTTTTTTTTTTGCTACTGTGATGATTATATTTAAAATTTGGTCAATAATGTTATACAGAAATACTACTATTCTTGTATGTTTATCTTGTTTATAAAACCTTGCTCCTATTAATTTTATTAGCTTTATTGTGAATTTGCTTGCATTTTAATGTACACAAATACATTGTCTGAAAAAGAAAGGTTTGTTTCCTATTTCGATTCTTATAACTCATTTATTTTTCTTCTCTAACTAGGCTAGTACCTCTCAGAATCGGGGATAGTAGGCATCAATATTTTGTTCCTAACTTTAAAGAGGATACTATTAGAACCTGTTGTGTTTTACATCTAGATGTCCCCCCCCAAAAAAAACACAAAAACCTCATGTACTCATAGTTGGGACTTTTGGGAAGTGATTGGATCATGGGTGTGTGATACTCATCAGTGGATTAGACCACAAATGAGTTTATGGCTGGTGTGTTGGGAGGTGAAGCTTGGTTGGTGGGTTACTGGGGATGTGGCCTGGAAGGCTATATCTCCCTCTCTCCTCCCTTGATCTCTCTCTGTCTCTTTCTCTCTCTCTGTCTCTCTCTCTCTCTTCCTCCCTCCCTCCCTCTCCCCCCCCCCCGTTTCTCTGTGTGTGTGTCTGTGTGTGTGTGCGTGTCTCTCTCTCTCTGTCTCTCCTTCCTGCTGCCCTGCCATGAGGTCTTGCTGCTCTGCCATGCCCCTCTGCCATGTTGCCCTGCCTTGGAACCACTGACTATGGATGGAAACCTCTACAAACTGTGAACCAAATTATACCTTTCCTTCTTAGAGACGTAGGTGTTGGGCATTGTGTTTCAGTGATAAGAAAAGTAACTAGAACAGCAGCTCAAAAGTAAATGTAATATTTGCTGTAGATGTTTTGTGGTTACTCTCTAGAAGGTTAAGGAAATGTCCTGTTCTTAGTTTGGTAAGAAAAGAATATTAGTATATAACACTGCTATTTTTAAAAATGACTTTTCTGTTTTCATTGAGATAACTTAATACTTTTCTCCTTTAATCTATTAATATATTATACCTATAGACTTCTGACACTGGACCACATTCTTTTTTGAGAATAAATCCAATTTTTTATTATGTGTATAAATACATTAAAGAGCAAAATAAAAAATAGATAATAGGAAATGTGTATTGCTTTACAAATGGGAAGGAACCAAGAGGTGGAGGGATGGGAGAAGGAAAGGAGAGGAAGGGAACATAAGAATGAAGATGTGTTATGTCCACGTACCAACTCCCCATGATGAATGTAATCATTATGTACTGCAAACATGTACTATTAAAAATAAAAATTAAAAAAGAATTCTATTTAATTGGGTAAAATTCACCTATAAAATTATCTGGGTCTTACACATGAATAAATACTGAATAGTTTCTCTGGTGTGAGAAACTGAAAGTGTAAATAAGGACTAAATGTATAATAGGTAATGTGAAATAGGAAGAAAAGGGGCAAAGGGGAAGAAAGTGGGAGGGCTGGGGTAAAGGATAGAAGGGAATGGGATTAATATGAGAAAATGGAAAAATAGGAACAAAATCTTTGTAAATAGGGAGGAATGGAGGGGTTGAAGGGAGGGTTGGGCAAGGGGGAAAAATAAGAACCAAGAGAGACTATGTAAAGGTGCAAATCTCCAATGATGAATGTCATTATATTGTATAACTAAAATGTACCATTGATTAGAATGAATAATCGATAATGCAAAATAGGAAGAAAAGGTCCAAAGGGGTAGGGGTAGTGGGAAGGTCAGGGGAAAGGAAAGAAGGGAAAGGACAAACGATGAGAAATGGAAAAAATGGAAATAAAGTCTTTGTAAATAGGGAAGGGTGGAGGGTGTGAAGGGAGGGCTAAGAATGGGGAAAAAATAAGAACCAAGATGCATTATGTAAAGGTACAATTCCCAATGAGAAATGTAATTGTGTTGTATACCTACAATGTACCAATAAAAGAATTTAATAAAAAAAAAATTATCTGGGTCTGTTGCCTTTGTGTGACTTGGTAGGGAAATACAATTTCTATTAACAATTCCATTTTTATAATGGTTATTGATTTACATTTTTATTTCTTAAATACATCTTGATAGTTTGTTTAAAAGAAAGTTGCTCATTTCAACTGTTTTAAAAATCTACTATATTTGTATTATCTTTCCCTTTCCATTTTTAATATTACTTATGTGAACCTATTTTAACGAGTATATAAGGGTTTTTTCCCAGAGGAATGGGCTTTTGCTTTTGCTGACCTCTATTGCTTCTTGGTTTTCTGTCCCCTTAATTTATGCTCTTATCATTATTTCTTTTTTCCTATGTTGCTTAGATTTTATCTGTTCTTTTTTCTAAAATCTCTTGAGTTGAATACTTAACTCATTTTTAGCATTACATTAAAAATAAATGCATTTATGTTAGTCAGTGTTCCATTATTGTAACAAAATACCTGGTAATCAACTTACAAACCGAGGTTTGTTTGGCTCATGATTTCAGCCCATGCTCAGCTGGCCCCACTGCTCTTGGCCTGTGGCCAGGCAGCACATCAGAGTAGGAGTACATGGTTGAGCAGAGCTACTCATCTCATGACTAGGAATCAAAAAGGGAGGACAAGGAAAGGGTTGGGGTCCCATTACCCCCTTCAAAGGCACATCCCCAATGACCAGAAAGCCACCCACGAGACCCTGTTTGGCTTCCACCACCTTCCAGTAGCACAAGGCTGGAGAGCAAGCCCTTAATAGATGAACCTTTGTGGACATTCCAGACCCACACTATGGTGGCACTTACAGGTGTACATTTACTTACATCAAAACTTAGATATTTTGAAGCTGGGCACAGTGGTCTCTCTGTGCCTGTAGTCCCAGCTACTTGGGCAACATAGTGAGATTCCCCATCTCAAAACAAATTTAAAAATTACAAAATTTGATGTACTCTCATTGTTATCTAGTTCTACATATTTCATTATTTTCTATGCTACAGTAGACCCTCAAGTTACAACCAGCTTGACATATGAACAACTTAGGTTACAACTGGAATTTTAGTTTTAACTTATGACCAAAGTCTTGAGTTACAACCCAAATTGCTTCCAGATGGTCTCAGATACAGATTTAACCCTTAAAGAGTTCTGGAAGGAACATTACAGCATCCTTTCCTCTGTGGGGTTAATTGGGAAATCCTGGGCCAGTGTCTCTCCAAGGACACTGAGATCTGCCTGTGTACAGGAGAGAGACTTTGAAGGCAATTGACCAACTTGAGTTACAGCCAGCTCTGAGGAGCAAATTGAGTTTGTAAGTCAAGAGTCCATTGTATTTCTTTTTTTCCTCCCATGAGTTATTTAGTTCATTATTGATAATAACATTTTAAGTGGCTAAATTGTTTGTTCAAGAGGACTATTTCACACTTTTTTTTTAAGACAGGGTTTTGCTATGTAGTTCAGGCTGGCCTTAAACTCTCTATGTAGCTCAGATTGGCCTTGAACTCACAGCGATCCTCCTGCCTCAGCCTCCTGAGTGCTGGGATTACAAGTGTGCGCCACCACAGCCGGCCTATTTCACACTTCTGCATGCTGTATGGATACTACAAACTGTCCCAGATGACATCTCAAAACAACCACAGACAACAACCCAGTAACACATGTTCTATAAAGCCTTTTCTCCTCTTCCTGATAAGAACTTCCTAAGTAAAGTCTTGAAAGTCAGTGTAATAAGGGAGAAGCTAAATCTGGATTCAATTTTTTCTGAATTCAAATGCTGACCAGGCCACTCAGTTAATGTGAGAATTTGAACAAATAGCTTAATCTTTCTACACCTCAGTTTCACCCTCTGTAAAACAAGACAAGCAGGGCTGGGGCTGTAGCTCAGTGGTAGAGAGCTTGCCTAGGATGTAGAAGGCCCTGAGTTCAATCCCCACCCAGCACAGTAAAACAATCAGAAACAACAAAGCAAACTATCTGTTTCATAGAGTTATTGAGAGTTGCTTTGCACCAAGTTGTCATTCAATAAATTGTACTGATTTTTTAATCACTCTAGCTGCTGATTTTCCTTTATATGTTTAGTGCTACAACGTTTTGTCAGTGAGATAAACCCCTGTGTTCCTACAAAGTAAGGACTCTTATTCCAAACCGCTGTGTCCAAAATATTTTCATCTCTCTCCGATCCTTGCACACTCACCCTGTTCCATTTCACATTTAAATTATGCACACAAGTGCCAACAACAGACATACAGAACCCACGGACCGAGTCCACACTCACGCGTGTACACACTCCCTACAAAGATGGATCCATCGCCCACAGATAAAGACGGGCTCACCCATCCCACTCAAAACCTAGCAGCTGGCTGACAGGTCACAAGCCACCCACAGTGCCAGCTCATGAAAGCAGGGCCCCCGGCTCCAGGATGGGCAGGGGCCTCATTCTAGTTGTTTTGTCGTTCTTCTCAGAGTTTATCATATGCCCTCTTCCTCCCTACCCAGCCCCCAAGTCCCCCCAAGTCTCCAGTGCGCATGTGCCCTGTAGCCCTCCCCCTCCTGGGTACCAGTTGGCGCTCCCGGGCGCTGGCGGCGGCGGCGGAAGAGATGGAGCCGCGTCACGATCGTCCAGCCCCTTAAAACCCTGCTGGCTGAAGCCGCCTCCCTCCCTGCAGCCCGCAGTAGGGATGGAGTAGAGAGGGACCCTTCGACCTGCCCGCGGGGACCAGCTATGGAGTTAAAGCAATCTTTGTCCACCCACCTGGAAACCGAGAAGCCTCTGAGGCGCTATGGGGCGGTGGAGGAGACGGCGTGGAAAGCAGAGGGACTGGGGAGAAGTGAGTACTGGGGCAGGGGTGGGGAAACAGTTGGGATGCTTGAGCGGGAGCCCTGGTCGCCTCAGGAGCGCGCCCAGTGCGAATGCGGGGAGCCCACCCAGGGCAACGCCCCCGCAGCCGGCTTTCAGGGTGGGGGGATGCTGCGCAGCGTGGCGCTCTCCTCGCAAACAAAAGGGGAGACCCTCGGGGGTGGGCTTCACCGAGAGGCTCTGGGAATCGCCAGGCAGCCCACCCAGGAGTCTGGGCTGAACTTGGGAGTCGTGGGTCCGCAGCTCGCGGCCAGTCCCGGGAAGTCAGGGCTTTTCCGCAGCAGAGGGAGGGGTTCTTTCTCCGCCTGCCAGGGATGCGCCGGGGCGCTGGAGAGGCAGGGCCACCCTGGAAAGCGCCCCCGTCCCCCAAGAGGGGGAGTGTCCGCTGGCTTTCAGCTCGCCACCCCCAGCACCTGGTTCAGGGCACACCCGAAATTCCCAACCTCTCTGGTCTCCTTCGGGTGGGTCCGAGGGAAGGGGAAAGGGCTGGGGAAGGCCAACCCTGAGCTAACCCTCCTCTGTCCCTTGGCTCAGTGACAGACTGGTTTGGGAATAGTCCTGGAGGCAGTTCTGAAACAGACCGGCTGTGTTCACCGGTACTCTTCTGTTTTGTTCTGGTGTCAATATCTCGAAATAAATGAAGGACTTTTGTTTGCAATTAATAGGACACAACAGTTGAGACTCTTACCCTCAAAGTGTAGAGGCAGCTGCCGGAGCCCTGGGTCACCAGCTGTCCCTGCACACCCGGGGCCTGCTCGGCGTGGAGTCCTCTGCTCTGGCACAGCTTACCGGGCCCCCCGGGCCCCCACCACCTTGCAGCTTCCCACCTGGGCTCTTGGTAACAGTGCTCCCTGCTCTTCCCAGCACCAGTTTCGGAGTTATGTGGGGTTGAAGTATGGTGAATGCGCTCTTTTCTTGTCTTCACCTGGGAGAAAACTGTGTGTACTTTCTCTACATCTGTAACTATGAATCACAACATCTTCCTAGAAGGGCTCAGTTGTATTCTGATTCTAATGGATTCAAATTAAAATCACAATTAAATGTCTCAGTTTCTCACCTGCTGCGATGGCTACTTTAGGGTTTCAACCTCTTTCCTTCTTTCTTTTTCTTTCTCCTTTCAAAGCCTGGGTCACTTCTGTTTCATTCTTTACAAACCTTTGGCTTCGTTGCTTTGGCGTAACCTCAGAGTGAAGGTCTGTGTTTCTCACAAGCTCAAAATAATTTCAACTGTGGCTACCTTTTGTTGTTAGATTGTCATGAACTTTCAGGGAATCGTCTCATTCAATCTCCACAAGGTCCTCTTGTATTATTTTGTCTCCCCTGGCAGGAATGAAAACACTGGGGCTTGTGAAGTGATACAACTGTTAAATAATAGAACCTAGATTTGAACCCAGGCTTGTTTAAATCCCAGCCTCCTAGCATGAAGGTTTCTTGCTCTCATGTTCTCAGAAACCTTGTTAAGTCTGTTGAGAAAGTCCCAGAGCCAGGTCAGTGACAAGTGTATAACAGCACTGTGGGTCTCTGCAGCTCACAGTGGCCTGGAAAGAAGGCTGGGGGTGAGAAAGGCAGAAGCTGCCCAAATTCAAGTAAGTGCCGATTTGAATCCTCCCTCTGCCCCTTGTTGACAGTGGGACACTAGGCACATTTCTAAGCTGCACTCTGCCTCTGTGTTATGAAAATGTAAATAATAGTAGTTCCTACCTTATAGCTTTCTTGTGAATATTAAATAAGACAGTGTATGTAGATCTCAAGGTGATGCCCAAGACATCTTGGCTCCTTCCACTGTTTTGCTACCACATCTGTAGAAGGAAACTCTGCAAGGAATTACATAAAACAACACCCTGGACTAAAACGGGAACGTTGGTGGGTTCCCTATAGCTTTTTATTTTCTCATCATTGTATCAGGAAAAATTTCAAGCATATATATTCAAGCATATAAATTTCAAGCTTATTGCAGTAAGCGCCCAATTTATACCAGTTTAGCCCATGATATTTTTGTACTTCTAACTCCTAGGCTATAAACTGTTAAGTCTGGCAGAAGGGCTTTCTCATTCTTCCAAACCATCAAAGACCCTGAGACTTGCTTCCTGGCCAACAATACAAGCCCATAGTTCTGCTTTTGCATGGATCTCTAAATATCTTTTTCTTCCTTTTTATTTATTCACATTTGAAATCCTTTTTTTCCCCCAGTGTGAGGGATTAAATTCAGGACTTCAGGCATTGTAGGTGAGTACTCTACCACTGACATACAAGCCCAGCCTCCAAGTCTTCTTTAAGAGCTAACCCAGCGTCCCACTTTTTATTACTTTTTATTAGTGCGTATTTAAAGTACATAATGATTACATTTATCGTGGGGAGTTGGTACATGTATTCAATACATCTTAATTCTTGTTTTTGTTTTCATCCCCTACCTCTCCTCTACTTTCTCGCTCCCTCTGACTCTTGGCCCTCTTCCCATTGGCAAAAGCTCTATGTATTCTCATCCTTTTCTCCCGTCAGTGTTTTTCTACCCTTTTCCCTCCCTTTCCTCTGCCCTCCATCTCTTGTTCTCTTAGCCATTTGAAAAATATCTCCCTATTTTCCTATTCATCTTTAATTTACTCCACTCCCTCTCTATAATATATGTTAATATATATTATATATTTTATAATATATATATTTTCTTTTTGGTACTGGGAATCAAACTCAGGTGCTCAAGCTTGCCAGGCAGGCACTGTGCTGCTGAGCTTCATCCCCAGTCTTGTAGTTTCTTATATAAGAAAAGCAATGTGATGTTTAAGCTTGTGTGTCTGACTTATTTCACCTAATATGTTCTCAAGTGGCATCCATTTGCCTAAAATACCTCAAGTTTATTTTTCTTTATGGCAGAGTAGTACTCCGTTGTGTATAAATACATTTTCTTTATCCATTCACTTGCTGATGGACATATAACACCATTTCCAAGATCCAGCTGTTATGCATTGTGCTGCTATAAACATGGGTAAGCAGGTATCCTTGTGTATGATGACTTTAACTCTTTTGGGAAGATACCTAGAAGGCATTAACTGGATTGAATGGAATTTCTATTTTTAGTTTTTTGAGGAATCTCCACACTGATTTCTGTAGTGGTTGCATTAGTTTACATTCAGAATCTCACTCTTTAATCTTAAATCTGGTAGGTTCTGGTCTTCAAACTCTTATTTGGAACCAGGCGTATTTTGATTAAAGTGACTGTTTTGGAGCATTCTTCTAACTCTGAGGGGATCTAGGAATCCATTCCATAACTTCTGGGGCCTCCATTTACTTATTAGTGAAGTGTGAAAATTAGTACTATTGACTCTATGGATAACAATCCCTGAACCAACATTGTGATAAGTGAAATGCTGGAGAATAGAAAGAGCCCATTAAAAAGAAGGCATGTTCTTTTTGACTTCTGCACGTATTTAAATATTTTATGCTAAACACTGAGTATGTGTAAATTAAAAAGCATTGAAAAGGGAGAAAGATTGTAGAACTCATTGGTTTTAGTTAAGGTTGTGTTAATTTCTGCCTTTCATTTCAACCCTAGTTGTTTCTTTTTTTCAACTCTAGTGTTTAGATGAAAGGTATGAGAGCTCTGAAGTCGGGAAATGAATTCAAACCAGCTGTACCCCTTTGGAGCTTTGTCATCATGGGAAATTTGCTGAAGCCCTCCTTGTATGGGCTACTTCATCTGTAAAATGGGGATAACTAGAGTAATGGGGAATTGGGGCTCTTGGCGCATTGAATGAGAATAATGCACATAATGCAGTTAGCAGAGTTGATGCTGAATGGTTGATGTAATAGGGCATATGTCAGTGGCGTCCAACAGTGTTTGCAGAGATTATTCCAAGCTTACTAGCCATTGCTCTTCGTGGCTCTCATGTCTTTGTAAGTTCTAGATAATGATTGTGTATATACTGCCTTCCACAGGAGGATGTGTGGGGGAAAGGCTTTTGAAGCCCTGAAAATCATCTAGTATTTTTTCATTTGAGACAGATTCTGAGCAATTGCTTCCATGCATTTGTAACAATATTTTTCCACTAGCAGTGAGGGTTTTTTTTAACTCAGTTTGATAATGTATAGTGACATTGCAGTGTGGTGAGATATAGAAAAATATTGCTTTCAACCAACTGTAATTAATTGAGGGAGACACAAAAAAAGGTGCCTTTTGAAAAAGCACAGGTGTTTTGTTTTTTTTAACAAAAACAAAAACACAGTTGTCTGTTGCTATGGACATTTCTTGGAAGATTTGGAAGTGCCTTCAAGGATGACCAAGATTTTGGGCAGGGAAATGGGGGAGGGGAAGCCCAGTGCAGAGAGAATGCCACCAGAGGCAGTAGCATCCACAATGGTATCAAAGTAGAAATAAATGAGCCATGGGTAGGAGATTGGAATAAATTGGAAAGCTTAGGCAGCAATCTTTCCATAAACCCAGGGGAGATGACGGTTATTTAAAAGTGCAAGGATGTGTATAGACTAGCAAGCAGATCGTTAAACTGACCAACGTTCCAGGTTTAATAAACAACATGGAGACTGAAATCATGTGAATTGTTGGCAATCAATTTAACAGATTCTTAGGGGGAAGGTTTTGTATAGTTTTCCTCTGTTTGATAAAACAGGTTAATTTTATTATTTTGCTTTAGCATTTTCCTTTTTTCTTATTACAGTAATATATGTACTTCATAAAAAATTCAAGCTCATGTAAAATATACAAAGTGGAAATGACCACCATCTTCTCCCTCACTCCCATTTATTCACTTAGAAAATAGGGGTTGAGAGTCTTCCAAGTGCCACGAAGCGCTCAAAGGCTATGGATATGGCGTTGAGCAAGGTCAAGTCCCTGCGCAAGTGGAGCTTTTGCTGAAGGGAAATCAGGATATGGGCTGGGATTTAGAGTGTCAGATAATACCTAAGCAAACAAACAGTTCAGATCATGATATATGTTTTATGAGATTTCCTAGGGGAAGGATA